ACACACACACACCCCACCATGCAGACTCACACACACACATAACCATGCAGACTCACAGAAACACACACATCACGACCATGCAGACTCACACACACACACACCCCATGTGGATTCAGAGAAATACACACACACCCCACCATGCAGACTCACACACACACACACCCCATGTGGATTCAGAGAAATACACACACACACCCCACCATGCAGACACACACACACACACACCCCACCATGCAGACTCACACACACACATAACCATGCCGACTCACAGAAACACACACATCACGACCATGCAGACTCAGAAACACACACAGGAACATGCAAACTCACAGAAACACACACAACCACACCACAACCATGCAGGCTCACACACACACACACACAACCATGCAGATTCACAGAAACACACACACACACGAACATACACTCATAGAAACACACATACACAAACACACAACCATGCAGACTCAAACACACACACACACACCCCACCATGCACACACACCATGCAGACTCATAGAAACACACATACACAAACACACAACCATGCAGACTCAAACACACACACGAACATGCAGACTCACAGAAACACACAGGCACACACACAAACACACCACAACCATGCAGGCTATCACACATTCACACAACCATGTAGACTCAAACACACACACACAACCATACAGACTCACAGAAACACACACACAACCATGCAGACTCAAACACACACACAACCATACACACACACACTTGTTGTCTCTGGCACACAGGGGCTCACATACACATCTACAAAGACTGTAGGCAATGAGACTGGGCCCTGAGACAATCCCAAAGGGAAAAAACACATCAACCCTGGATTTGTGAAATGGAAACACAGGCTCTTCAATTTATTTCGCTTACATTTCTACTTTCCAAGTGGACTATTTTTTAAATTAAACGTTTTGTTTGGAGAAAACTGGAGTCTCCTGCAGCCCTAAGAAATAATAGAGACTCAAGAAGAACATCTTGAAAAGCCGTGGCCCAGCACCCTGGCCAGGGAAATCCCACCCTTGGAAGCCACTGATCTGCTCACCTTTCCCTCGTTCCACCTGCGTGTGTGTGTGTGTCTGTGTGTGTGTGTCTGTGTGTGTGTGTGTTAGTCACGGCAGCTTTATCCCTTGCACAGGTCGGCCTCGATGCAGAGCAGTTCCAAAGGCTTTCCACTGCCCTGGCCTGAGCACACCCACTTCCCTCTGCTCCTCCCCTCCCCTCCGGCCACTCCTAACCCGCACCCCCTCACTTCCAGAACATCACACGAGGGGAACCACACAGCACGCAGCCTCCTGGGCTTGGCATCCTTCTCTGCAGATCCGTTCGAGCTATTCTGTGTCTGTGAAGGTTTGTTCCTCTTCCTACTGAGCACCACTTTAAGGTTGTTCTTTTAAACAACTGTTCTTGTTACAAGGAGAATTATCCTACAAGGAGAATTATCCTAACAGTAGCAGGCATGTTTATATTCATTGCTACGCTGTGCCAGGCGTGGTGCTAGACTCTTCTTTAATCCTCATGTCAGCCTAGGCATGGGTACCAGCATCACCCCACCCCACAGCGGAGCTGGAAGCAGGTGCCAAGAGGTTGACAGGGGTATTCTTCGAAGATACCGCTCCCTCCCACATGACTGTAACCTGTGTGGTTTGGGATGACTTCCGTCACCCCCCTGAACACACTTCCTCTCCACTGACTCACAGGGTTGATGCCAGGAATACAGCTTTGGCGTGTGAGCCTGTGCCTGGTTATTGCTTTCCATTCAAGGAAGAGGCAGTGAAGGCTCCAGAAGGTTCCATGAAGTGAAGCCTGCTAGGGGCCATGAGAGCCAGTCTCCATACACCCCCTCCAAGCCAGAGGTCAGACCATGTCAGAGCCCCAGCAGCACCCCCAAGTCACTTCCACAAAGTCTGCCTGGAGACAAGAATAGGGAGAGAGGCCCCGACCTCAGCTTCCCTGTGGCTGCACCTGCAGACTGCTGGCTGTGCTCGAAGGAGATGCCACAGCCGAGTGATGGAAACCACGGGAACACACTCCAGCCCCGGTCTGGACGCTGCACACGTGCAGTCCGGGTGTCAGCAGGGCAAGCACCCCTTGAGCCTTCGGGCAGATCCTCCCTTGCCTCTTCCAGCCTCTGGTGACAGCTGGCAGTCCTTGGCTAGTGGGACGGTCACTCTGGTCTCACCTGCCTCCCTGGCTGTTTGTGAAGGAATCTCCCTCTCCTTTCTCTGACCTGGACACCAGTTACTAGGTCAGCACCCTCCACCCCCAATCCAACGTGACTTCCTCTTAACTAATTACATCTGCAAAGCCCTGTTTCCAAATAAGGCCACACTCACTGGGACCCAGGGTTAGGACTGCAATATATTTGGGAACAATTCACCCCAGTACATTTTTCAAAGACCTCAGCGTCTGCTCTGGGTGTGGACCAGCCTTGGCACGAGACAGTCTGGGGTGACAGATGTGGCATCAGTAATCGCTCACTGCTTGCTCAAGGGTCAGCATGTTCTCTGTAACCACCCAAAGCACAAAGAGGAGTGGGAGGCAGGAGGACCACACGGCAGGCAGGCCAGGTTGGCCCCAGCTGCCCCTCCGAGGAGCAGGGAGTGAGCTCCCTGGCGCTAGTGGCATCCCAGCAGTAGCCGCATAGCTACCCACCAGGCATGGGCTGCAGAGCGTGCTTTCCCACGGAGCACCCAAACTCGCTCTTGGTGGGCAGAAAGCACAATGTGCCCTCCAGAAGGCCGCGGTACGTACATGGACACATGGGGTGGGAGGTACTTGCAAAGGCCCACGGAAAATGGCATTGAAGTTCATTTGCTACAAACATTTTGAAATCCATGCATAGCTGTTCCATAACACATATTTTCCATGAGCTCGTAAGAGTCCTCATCTCTGGTGTGTACTTTCTGGGGGAGGGGTGACCGGAGAAAACATGTCTAAATCTGCTCCTGCGGGAGGCACGGAGGGGACAAGGCAGAGAAACTCTGCTCTCGACAGAATGCTCTCCTGCAGGGGCTTGGGGCAAATAGTCTCAGACTCCGTGCTTGCGGGTCCAGAACTTCCCACTGCCTGAACCCCAGGTTTGTAACCTGTGACTGTTGCTAGTACAGGTGGAATAAGGGCCTGCCATTCTACTGGGAGATATTTGTAGGACAAGCTCTCCTTTGGAACCGCTGGGCCAGCTCCCTGAACCCTCTCAGAGAGAAAGCAGAGCCAGCCATGTAGTGGAAGAGAGGTTTGGAAAGGACAGACTCGCTCACACCGAGGTGGGAAGGTGGGAAGGGATGAGAACCAAAGAGGTCAGAGCATGACGGGGTCTTTGAGTTGAACCTGCCCTTGGTGCAGCACAGGGGATTCAGGGAGGAGCCTGCGTATGTTTACTTAATTTATTTGAGACAGAGATCTCCCAGCTGCTGGCTCACTCCCCAGATACCTAGGACAGCTAAGGTTGCAGCAGGCTGGAGCAGGAGCCAAACTCATTCTGGGTCTCCAACATGAATGGCAATGTGAGCCATCATTTGAGCCATCATCGTTGTCTCCCAGGGTGCACCTCAGCAGGAAGAGAGCTGCAGCTTGAATATGGGATGCAGGCATCCCAAGCACGGCCTTGACTGCTGTGACCAATGTTGCCCTTTATTCTCTTCTTGAACCCAGATCATCATGTACCTGCTGCCCACAGCCAGCTGAAGCCAGTACACCAGTGTGTGCCTGGAGGAGGGGGGAGTGGAGTCTTCTGCCAGGTTTCTCAATGACTGTGCTTGGTTCTGCTTCCCCCCACCCTGAGGATCCTGCTGGACATCCTGGAGCTGGGGGGGGGGGGCAGGTAAGATCGTCACCGAGGAAAAGAAGGCTGCTCCTCACCACCAGGTGGCAAGGGGTCCAGGCGGTGGCCATCACGGGGACTGGGAAGGTAGAATCTCAGGCACTCTGAGTAGCTAACAGCATTGTTGTTGACAGGAATAAAAGAATCAGATCGCACAGGAATCTGCCTTTTCCCAGTAAAAGCCAGGAAAGACACAGCTGGAGCAGCCCAGAGCACAAGACTACATCACAGCACAGGCATGCGAACCCGGTGTTAGGCTCAGAAAGCGGTGTTCTGATCAAGCCGGCTCTTCCGGCTTTGTCATACGGGCTGCAGCTTTGAGGAGGCACAGCTTCCTAATTACAGGGGCGTAATTACAGGTGCGAGTGGTTCCGAGTGAGAAAAGGCTGCGTCATCCGACTCGGAAGTTTTCTTTCAGGAAGCATTAGCACAGAACTAATGGATTAGTAATTTAAGAAATTTGTTTTCTCCTCCAGATGCTGTTTCTCCTGCCAACACCCTGGTGCCCAAACATTTCCTCTGGAGAGAGTTCCGAGAGGTGAGGTCACCTCCAGCCAGTCACAGCCTCCCTCCCCCTCCCAGGCATAAGTCCCCCCACAGCTACAAGTGTCTGTCACAGCACACGAGGGGCAGGCCCTGCGTGGGGTGGGGACAGGGCTGGAAAGGCCATCGAAGACAAGGGGAGCCCTCCTCCAGCTTGTCCACTCACTGCCCATCTTGCAGGGAGCTGCGTCAGCCTGGCCAGGGTGGGGGCCGCTGGCCAAGCTCCAGGAACCTGAATGCAACCTCCACCCACTTCGTCCCTGCCACAGTGGCTCACGCAGAGACCGCAGGGAAGAGCCCATCTGGGGTTGGCAGCTCCGCCCAGAGTTACCTGGAGAACGATCCACTGGGAACACGGGCTCCGTGGCACCATCAGGTGCACCCCTGTCTTTACCCAGTGCAGTCCTTCCCTCCTCATCTCAGCCCCACTCAGCCTCCTCGGGAGCTCCAGGCCCCCAGGATGCTCACCTGAGCTGCAGGTGCAGCCCAGACCTGTGAGCCTGCCCCTCAGCATCGTCTCACCAGGACGTAGCTTATGAACCCCAAGCCTGAGCCCAGGGCGCCGAGCAGAGGGTGGCCCAGCTGGCCCTTCTGTGCAGCTCCATCTGCTGCCCGGGACAGGGCCGCATGGCCTTCTCCTTGCTAATTACCAAGAAGCTCTTGTTAGAAGGGCTCGTCCACCCAGCAGTGTGTGACCCTGCGCCTCCTTTGTTTCTTCTATAAAATGGGGTAACTACAAGGCCTCCCTATGCCCGAGGTGAGGGCAGGGAACTAATGAGTGCCTGTGACGTGTGCCAAAGAGTGCTGGTGCAGGAAGTGCTCCAGCATTGCCGTTACCCCACCAACACGATGCCCTTCACCCACCTGCCTTTACCCAGTGTGGGTGCAGGGGCGGGGAGGGCCACGCACTGGGACCCCCACCTCACCAACTGCCTATTCCCTCCCCGGGTGGTCTCACCACTGCAAGCCAGGGCAGTGGGCAGTGCTTGCTGTTGCCCCACTGGGTGACAGGCAGCGATTGGAAAACAGCAGAGAGTGTACCACTCAGGGAGAGACAGCTATCTCCCTGCTCCTTCCCCCAAGCAGGTGCCCATCTTCTCCGAGGCCTGTACGGGGGCAGGAGGAAGCTGTGGAGCAGCAACACCCTCACCTGCATGTCCGTACAGTCAGTCCCCAGGAGGCGTGGTGCACGCCCACGGTCAAGGTTTGCAGTGCAGGTCCCCTGCCCTTCCTGGTGACTGTGCCCAGCTCAGGGCATCCAGCCCACCAGTGCCCCTCCGTGCGCTGACACACCTGCCCGGCTCCGTGTGTATGGCTGCGGCCCTGGGTAAAAGCTTCCAACTCCCTCAGCTTCACAACACAGAAAGCATTCTCAGGAAGCCCTGCCTCACCACACTCCTCCAGCATGGGGGTACAGGGACAAAAAATAAGTGCTCGGTCTCCCAGGACAGCCCCCATGTGGTTTCCCACAGAGACAGGCTCCGAGGAGGCAGCGCCCTTGGACCCGGGATCTCTGTCGCTGGGTGCACAGTGGAGGCTCCTGTGGGGTTGTGCTCCGTGCCCTGGCGCAGGCTGGCCCCCAGAGCAGGGCGGCTTTCCACACAGGGCCTTGCAGTAGCACTGGAATCCAGAACCCGCAGGGAAGGTTGCGTGGGGGCTCTCACCTCCCTGCCACAGAGCACAGGCAAACCTCCCCACTCTGTGAGTGAACTTTGCTCACTGCAAGTGCAAACTTAGAAGCCGGGGCTGGACCATCGGTCCCACCGCTGTGCACTACACTGGAGCCAGTCTTGACCCGCTGGAGCCTGAGTTGCCTTCCCCATCCCGTCTCCCTCAGCGGCTGTGCATTTAGTCATTTGCTCAGCTACTAATTAAACAGCTGTCCCATGCCAGGCCTGAGCTGGGTCCTCAGAGGAGTCAGCCAGGTCCCCGGCGCCTCCAGGAACTCACACAAATTCCTGTTCATGAAAAAGCTCTCTAAAAGTAGGAAATGCTGAACTACAGGTCCCATTACTGCAAAAGGCGTAGCATTAGCAGTACCGAAGCTGCCGGGAAGGGCAGAATGCATACCAGGTTAGCGCTGCTGGGGTCTGAACGCGCACCAGGACCACACGGGAATCTTGGTACACTGCAGACTGCCGCATGGAAGGGCTGGGCCGGGCCTGAGCGTCTGCGTTTCTACCACGCTCCCCGGATGTGCTGCTGCCAGTTGGCGACGCTAACTCTGAGCAACAGCTGCTTGTGAGCCAGAAACACAGCCCGGCTGATGGCAGGGTTTGGTGGGAGGGGGCCGTGGGATGGGTACATTTTGTGGGGGGTGCCTGAGTCTGGGCGTGTTCTAGAATACAGAGCCCCTCCAAGTGGCGGCCACCCAGGATGGTCGCTGCGTCTGTGAGTTGCTTTGCAGAGTGAGGCAGGGGGCCTCCGAGGGAGGCAAGCAGGAGGCAGAGACAGGGCAGCTGAGCACGCGTCGTGCACCACTTCAGTGGTTTCCAGAATGCTCTGTGGAGACACAGGTTGTCCCAGGTGCAAGCGGCAGGTGCGGTTTGAGCCCGGCTCTTGGGCAGCTTCGACTGGCGCAGACGCTGGGGAGGAGCCTGTCTTTGGGTGAGGCTGAGTTGAAGTATTTTGGACCGAGGGAGGCACCCAGCTTAAGCCACAAAGTACCTCAGGGCAAGTCCCAGGCACATCGGACCACGAGAACGGAGCTGGGGGCCCTGAAAGACTCCGTTTTTCACTCAATGAACTCTTTCCTCCAGAAATAAAGCCTCAAGGCCCGTTCAGCAGCTGGAACTTTCCCTCCGAAGACTGTACCCTGGCTGGCAGTGGACTTAAGCAGCTATTTGAAGCCTGTAATTTTCACAAAAACAGCAGGGTATGCCTGGTGGGAGATGCTGTCTACAATCCACAGGGAGGGGGAACAATGAGAAAACTTCAGAACAAAAGGCGATCCAATTCCATCAGAAAATCACCAACAACTGCCGGTCCAGACTAACAAAGACATGGAAAGTTTTCCAGGCAAACTGGGTCTCGGAGGGGCCGGGAAGCATGCCGGTTGCCGGATCCCCGGGTATGGGGGAGGTACCAGAAACCCGGGCCCAGAGAGCAGGTGGTTTTGAGGGTCCCGGTGAGAAAGGTCAGTGGCCATGTAGGTCAGGAAGATGGAGCCAGGTGAAAATCTCGAGGGAGAACCAACAAGGCTTGGAAGTCAGCCACGGGAAAGGCCCAGGCTCCAGAGGCCAGTGGCCATCTAGGGGTGCCTACCCTGAGAGGCGGCAGAAGGCAGTCCAGCCGCGAGGTGGGAGCACAGGGGGCTGGACCAGTGCGACTGTGCCTGGAAGCACTTGCAGGTCAGGGGTAATGGAAAGAAGGCTTCTGTCCTTGGTGACGGAGCAGGTCCTTGGTGTTCCTGGGCCTCCATGAACTGAGGGCAGGCAGCACTGGAGAGAGAAAAGAGCCAGCGGGATTCTGCTGCTTAGGGCACTGTTGAGGCTGTCCCCGCGCCCGGCCACAGGAACACAGCAGCTCACAGGCACGCCCGAGGGCTCTCTCCCGCGGCAGGTTCTCCCGCACATGCCAGGTCTCATGCGAGCCATGAGGCGGGCCCTGGACAGGGTCACGCTCTTCTCCTGCAGCCTGCACTCAAATTCAGAGAAGCATCATCAGCTCATCTCTGCCGGCTCCGTCCCGCTCCCAGCAACATGGAGGCGAGCAGGCGAGTGAGCCAGCTGACCGGGCTGACATGACTAGGGAGAGACATTCACTGGCTGAAATCAAACGATTTCTGCATGTTGACACAAAGATCCACGTGTCCATGTAAGAAGCACCTGGCAAGCCGTCGGCCAGGTCCACCCTGTGTGCTGGCACCGCCCAGGCTGGGGCTCAGATGAGAACCACCGACTGTTGTCTGTGCAGGTCTTTTGCTGGCTGCCATGACAGGAAGAGCCCGAGTCCCAAGGCTCTGACTCCCAGACTTCTCTCTCATTCACGGGGGCCTGCAGTGCGTGCACCTAGCAGCCCATTCTCCTGGGCGACTCTGCTACAGCAAGAGTGCGAGCACGCGGGCCCTTCCATTTGTGTTGCTACTGTGTCCCATCTTTTCCCGTTTCATGGCCAGTTATCTAATGGGCACGGAACCATTTCACTTGTATTTTAAATCAAAGCAGCCCAAATAGATGCTCGCAACTTGGAAAAACAGAAACAATACCAGTCCTTCCACATGATAGGTTTATAAGATGGGATTTGTTTTTCATGGTGTAGAAAAGATCACTTTGAGGGAGAAAATATAATTTTATCCATTATGAAACCTGACCCTTCTTCTCACCTGTACAGGTGAGACTGGATTCTCTGTGAGCTTCTAAATTCTTGGGTAAAGGACAGCTTCAGGGGCAGGCATTTGGTGCCATGCTTAAGACGCTGCTTGGCATCCCATGTGCATCCCATATCGGAGGGCCTGGGTTCGAGTCCTGACTCCACTTCTAATTCTAATTCCAGCTTCCTGTTTTTGCGCACCCTTAGAGGCAGCAGGTGAGTCCCTGCCATTCACATGGGGGACGTGGATGGAGTTCTGGGTTCCTGGCTTCAGTCTTCCCCAGCCCTGGCTATTATCGATATGTGGGCAGTGAGCCAGCAGATAGAAGATATCTCTGTCTCTCTCTTTTCATTTTTCTTTTTTTTTAAAGATTTATTTATTTATTTGAAAGTTGGAGTTACACAGAGAGAGGAGAGGCAGAGAGAGAGAGAGAGAGAGAGAGGTCTTCCATCTGATGTACACTCCCCAGTTGGCCGCAACAGCCAGCCGATCCGAAGCCAGGAGCCAGGAGCTTCTTCCGGGTCTCCCACATGGGTGCAGGAGCCCAAGGACTTGGGCCATCTTCTACTGCTTTCCCAGGCCATAGCAGAGAGCTGGATCGGAAGTGGAGCAGCCGGGTCTCAAACCAGTGCCCATATGGGATGCCAGCGCTTCAGGCCAGGGCATTAACCCGCTGTGCCACAGCACCGGCCCCTGTCTCTCTCCTTCAAACAAAGTGAAATAAATAAATTACTTAACAAGAAAAACAAACTACATGTAAGTATGCATCTAAAAAAAGAGAGAAAACTCAAGTTCAGGAAGGTGAAGTTCGATCTAAGCTGAGATTCAAACTCAGGACTTCCAACCAGAGAGCCTGGTCCTCTCTCTGCCAAGATGTGGCTCTCAGCAGGGAGGCCTCGGGGATTCAGGCGAGGTTAGCTGACCAAGATGCAGAGTCTGGGGCCCCGTGCTTCTGGGGCCCCTTCGGGCTGGGGCCAAGAACCTGCAATTAGGCTGAGCTGTAGCCGCATCGTCAGCTTATCGAAGTTCTTTAACTTGGGGGGGAGAGCAGTTGGTGGTGATCCGGGCAGAGGCTGGTCTAGGACCTGCATGCAGCTGGAGAGCCCACGAGTAGCAGTCAAGGCTGACTCCGGCTCCTCCAGCAGAAGCAGGCCAGTGCCAGGCTCAGCGGGCTCTGGGGGCAGCCGGCCGGGGCAGCACTGGCAGCTGGTGTGGCCTGGGGCCGGGGCGCCTTAAGCGACATCAGGATTCTTTAGTGTACTGCCATGGAAAGAGTGGTGAGTTGAGATCTCAGCTTCACCACAAGCTTCGGCCTGTGAAGCAAAGTCTGTTTTCTGTTATTTTCTACTCAATATGGAGTTTTCCACATTGTAGAATAAAATCACCTTGGCAGGATAGTCTTGCAACCGAAGTGGAAACACTATCCCGTGACGTGGCACGTTACCAACATTAAGCACAGCAAAGGCCATATTCTAGAAGGCAAGGGAAGGGGGTTGGTGCGTGAGCCCACCTAGCCGCGGCTGTGGCGAGGGCCGGCCCAGGCTCTTGGGCAGGCAGGGAGCCCCTCCTCCAAATCCACAGTCCGCCCGCTCGCTTGCTCGCTCTCACGGGTTTTTCCACCGGTCATAAGGAAACATTCTGAAGACACGTGGGCTTCCCCCAGCTCAGCCCCAGGCCAGGCCTCGACAATTCCCAGAAGACATTCCTTCCACTGCCTTTCCCCACTGGCCCCGGCGCCAAAGCTCAGCCTTCAGTGCTAGCCTGGCTGCGATCCCGGCCTGCCCGGGGCCTCCTGGCTGTCCCTGGGTGACTGCACTGGGGACCCGACACCCACCTTGAACGTGTGGACCTGGAATGAGTGCCCTGCCACACCCGGGGCCGCTCAGGGGCCACGCCAAGCTCCGTCACCTCCAGTGGGGGGAACGCACACAGCTGACGCCCCAGGGAGAGTTTCGCCTTAACTGTGGCTCAAGATGCTGGGGGGGGGAGGGGGGAGGCTGCCTGGGAGCAGCCTTCCTGGTGTGCTGTAGCCAGGCCTTGTGGCCTGTGGGGCAGAGGAGGAGAAACGAGACTGCGAGGGTTGATCCCTGTCGAGGCTGATGACGAGCACGTGGGTGGTTTACGCTGCTCTCTTGGCTTCTGCAGAAGCTTGAACGTTTCTAGAATAAAAAGCTGAAAAAGTAAAAGGAGGTATGGGTGGAATCCGTGTTCCTATCCCCAGCTCCTCCTGTCCAGAACACTGAGGGTTTGTGTCACAGAGGCAGGGAGCCAGCACGGAAAGCATGACCCAGCCCCAGGCCGAGGCCGAGGCCGGCTGCACCCACCCCTCCATCGCTCAGCACAGGAACACCTGTGACGGCTGTGCTCGCCTGGCAGCAGAGTCCAGCACTGCACAGGACCATCATGGTCCCTGGCTTCAGGAGCCCACAGATGGGCTGGGAGGAAAGAGGCAAGGAACAGAGAACAAATCCTGCGACCACTCCAGACTGACCAGGGCCATACAGCCGTCCAACAGGACGCAAGGGAAGATACAGATGGGGCGGCTGCTCTGGCCTCAGGGGTCACAGGAAGCCTCTCAGAGAGGTGACACTGGAGCAGGGACCTGAGTGAAGGGAAGCGAGAACCACGAGGGTATTAGGAGGGGTCACAGGTCAAGGGAACACATGTGCAAAGGCCCTGAGGCAGGAGTGGGCTTGGGCCTACAGGAGAATCCACAGGAGGGCAAGGAGGCTGGAATGCAGCCGGCAAAGGGGAGCAGGCTGGGTCTGAGCAAGCAGAGCAAATCTTCCAGGCCTCGGGGGCAGCTCGGATTTCTCCCTGAGAGGACACAAAGAACAGGCGTGCCCACCCTGGTCTGCAGCGAGGAGAAGCGCATTCTCGAGCAGGGGTAGTGTTGGGAGACCAGATTGGAGGCCCCCCGCAGCTTCGGAGGCAGGGAGGTGAAGACAGTGTGGCCCTCGGAGACGACTGAGGAGATGGAAGAGGCTGACAGGTGGGAGACAGGAGTAAGAGGGAGAAGAATCAAGGGTGGCTCCTGGGCTGGGGTCCGAGCAGCTGAGCCAGGAGAGCTGCTGAGCTGGGAAGGGAAGGCCGGAAGGAGGGGCATGGAGGAGAGACCCGGCTGCAGAGGTCAGCGGGAGCCAGCCCCACGGGTCAGGCCCCAGAGACTGCCACCGCCTCCTCAGCAACCCACACGTCCAACACAGGGCCGTGGCTGATGGGACGCGAGCAAATCGCCCCGTGGGCATCCCTGGTGGGACCCTCCCCCACCGCTCCAAGGGCACCCGGAGTCCTGCTGCCCAATGCTCAGCTCAGAGCCCGCTGACCCTGCACCCACACCCCACCTCCCCCCCTTCTCCCCTGCCTGTTCTAAATGATCAAAAAGCCGCTGCTGTTAGAATCAGGACAACCTGGAGCTGTCCCCGAGGCATTGCAGCCACCAGGAGCACCTGCCTCCCCCACCACCTACAGGGCCCCTGCCAGCCGCTCGGAGAGAGACGGCCACCCATCAGCTGCCACTTCCACCTCTCAGCCTCCTGGTGCTCCTCCTTCAAGCTCACCCTGGCAGCGCCCTGTGCGCATCCAGGGGCCACCCAGGCAGCCCTGTTCCCGCACCCCACCGCACAGATCCTCCAAAGACGGCTCCCAGGCCTGGGACCCCTGTGTGCCTGCTGTCTCACTGGCAGCTTCTCGGGCGAGAACCGCAGCGCTCTGCTGACGGCAGGTGAAGACTGCATGTTGGTTATCCACTGGGCCCCGTGCTAAGGACATCTGCTCCCATCCCCCTCCTAGGTGGCTAACACTGCTAACCCAGTCTGCAGATGGGGGCCCACACTCACATGCTAATGAACCGCAGAGCCAGGATTTCAGGCAAGGTTTCTTTGAGCCATGCAGAGATCCTCCCACATGCAGGGAGGTGCAAACCATTGTATCCACAGTGCACGGCACAAGCCGCCAGAGGCCCTAGGGGATTGTGCCCAGCCCTGACCCAGGCCCTGCCCTGGGGAGCAGCCAACAGAAAGGCCAGGTTTACCCAGGTGTCAGGTACAATGGGCAGGGGCTCTGGGCTCAGCGTCCGGGCACCTGCTCACAGGGAGCAGAGTCTCATTGAAAACAAAGGGCTGGGCTGGTGACGGGATGGGCAGTGGAGAAGAAACAGCCAAGTTCAAAGACAGCCGCTGCAGGTGAGCGACTCCTGACGTGAAGGTGGGACAGCTGCTGCCCAAGCCCATCCCACCCAGGCAGGCAGCTCACCTTCCAGAACAGGCTCAGCCCCTGCAGGACACCAGGAGGGGACGTCCCCATGGGGACCAGTGCCCACCAGGAGGGCTGACCTCGCCCCTGCCCAGTTCTATTTCCCAGGAGTAAAGGTCCAGTCCTCCAGCCATGGGGAGAACTTCTGAGTGGAAGGCTCAGAGAGGCTAGGCAAGTCGCTCAAACTCACAAAGTTTAGGCGAGACAGAGCCCAGATGCAAACTCCAAGGGTGATCCGAGCCCGTTTTTATGTGGGGAGTTCTAGGTGGTCATTGGCTCTCCCAAGCCAAGTCGCCACTTACACAGGCCCTGAACGACATCAGGGCATGGCCCACCAGGGACCAGACCCTGGTGCTGTGCCATCCTGCTTCCATCACTGTCATCAGAGCTGACACTTTGGAAACAGGTAACGTGCCAGTCACCTCACGTACATCATTTCACTGACTCTTCCCAGAAGCTCACAAGCTCAACGTCAATATCCCCATTTCATAGGACAGGAAATCTGAGCTCTGAGAAGCTCCACCCTGTCAGTGGACAGGACAGCAGTGACCACAGAGGACCCTCGTGAAGGCAGCAGCCTGCTTTGCACTCAGCTGGAGAGGCCGTAGGTCGGCTGCCGGCGGTGAGTCAGAGCTCAGAGATGCCTGCCAGCCCCGGGAGTCGCTCTGAACCCTGGGATAGCACAGCCTGCAGGGAGCGAGGCCCGTGGTCAGATCAACCAGGAGGGATGTTGGGGCCTGGCTCGTGGCTCAGGCCCTCCCAGGCCCCCTTCCCTGGGCCAAGAACGCTGCTGGTAACCCCGCCCCCTCCAGCCAGGTCAGAGGCTGTCCTCGCCGGCAGGGCAGCCAGGGCCACAGCGGGGCCTGCAGAGATCTGCAAGCTGCCAGGAACAGCGTGAAGGGGGCAGCTTTCCCGCCAGCTGTCAGCCAGTCCTGGGCGGGACTCGGTGCTGTGGCTCATTAGTTGTGCCGCCCTGGGCAAAAATGTTTAAGCTCTCCGTCCGTCAGTTTCTTTATCTATAAAATGGAGATGCTGCTGCTGCCTACCTCACAGGGTTAGCAGCGATCACACATGTAAGACTCCTAATACACTTCCGGGGACACAGAAAATACCAAACGAACGAATGAACGAAACTGCCCTTTTCCTCTGTCCCTTAAGGTAACTGACCAAACTGCATCGGGCTGGAAGGCAGAAGTCCCAAGCCTGTGAGTCTAGCCAAAAGATCACACACCTCTGTGCCTCAGTTTGTCCTTCTTTAAAATGGGGGTGTTGCTTCCATCCTACTTGATATTTAACAAAAGGTTTTATGCTGCTGATTTGTGAGAAATACCTTTGCAAGCCCACGGTGCAGGGAGAGCTTGGTTTTCAGTTGCCTTATCTTTTTTGAGGGGACTTCAAAATTCCCATGGGAAATAAAATTTAAAAAACTTATTTTGGTCCAGAAATGTTTTTAAAAGCCATGTATTTGGAGAGTTTTCAAAAAGTTGCTGAAAAATGTACACTTTGGAATAAATTAGTAAAGATTTCAAAAATTGTTTGCACCCAATCAACCTTATGTTTGACTTTCATTTCCCCGCGCACTTTTGCTTCCCATTAGCTAGCTCACCCTGAATCCACCTGCTCCAGTTAAAAGCAAGCCGGGGGGCTGGCACCATGGCTCACCTGGTTAATCCTCCACCTGCAGTGCCGGCATCCCATATGGGCGCCGGGTTCTAGTCCTGGTTGCTCCTCTTCCAGTCCAGCTCTCTGCTGTGGCCCGGGAGTGCAGTGGAGGATGGCCCAGGTTCTTGAGCCCTGCACCCGCATGGAAGACCAGGAAGAAGCACCCCTGGCTCCTGGCTTCGGATGGGCGCAGTGCCGGCCGTAGCGGCCATTTGGGGGGTGAGCCAACGGAGGGAGGACCTTTCTCTCTGTCTCTCCCTCTCACTGTCTGTAACTCTACCTCTCAAATAAATAAATAAATAAAATCTTTAAAAAAAAAAAAAAAAAAAGCAAGCCGGGATGGGGGCATCTACTGGAACTGAGACGCTGGGCTGGTGAAGAAAATAGCAGTGCTTTTCACCTGATTCGCGTCTGACACTCACGATGATCAGAGGATTTGCCCCCATAGCACAGGGACCTCCTTCTGGCTGGGGGTCCCTCTCTTCCCTGAGCCTCCTCATGTGAGAGGCCATCACCGAAGACTCTGCCTTCTTTCCAACCTCACACCGGGGCCAGAATGGGATGTGACAGCCAGAGCGCTGACTGCACCATGCTGCCTACGACACAGCGATTTGCTGCACTTGTGGGTGGAAATCTTTGCAAGCATGCGAGGCCGCTCTAACTCCCAAACTGCGTTGTGCGAGGATAACCAGAAGAGCACCGCTGACTCTGCAGACAGAGGCCGCTCACGGACGGGGCAGTGGGGACTGGGGGTCACGCAGAGAAGGAGGCAGGTGGTCAGTCCTCAGGTCTGCCGCAGCCCCCTCTCAGGCCAGTGTGGCTGTGTGCTGCTGGCAGGCCTCAGGGAGCCCACGGTCTGGTGGGGACAGTCACTGAGCAAGCCCGCGGTGTGAAGGAAGCTGTTCAGGGTGCTTGGGGAGGCTAAAGCCGGGCAACTCAGCAGGCTGCAGAGTGAGGCAAGGCTTCCTGGAGAGAGACACTTCTGCTGTGAAGCTAACCTGGCTGAGTGTGTGGCAGGGACAACTGGGCAGCCGGGTTGCCAGGGGTGTGGCTTGACCTTGCTTCATAAATGCCTACCCCAGAGGTGGCCACTTAGCCTGGGGGTTAAGTTGGGACTCCTGGATCCCATATTGGAGTGCCTGGGTTTGAGCTGTGACTCCACCTCCAATCCCAGCACCGGGCTCATGTGCACCCTGGGAGGCAGCAGGTGTGAGTGACTTTCAGTATCACCATCTTGACGGCTGCTCAGGTCCATG